ATCCATCTTTGTATCAACTTAAAAAATGTTAAAACTCCTAATAACAGGGTGAAGCACTTATCTTTACAGAGACCCAAGGAATTTTTAAGCATAGACCTTGGTTTGCATAGTGGTATCAAGGGTTTTTTTTTCACAGAGAAGATTTATAAAGCAGTGGGGTAGATGGTGCTGTTCTCCAGCTGTCTATCTTGACGAGCTTCCTCACTGGACTAAACACAACATAATTTTTCTGTAATGTTACAGTGGAATCTTGGAAAAACATAATGTTCCTCCTGTTATGTGCAATAGATACTTCTTTAATTGCAGCAGCTAAAAAAAGCTTCTATCTTTATAGCTGTGGAACCAAAGCGACGAAGTTTATGGTCTCTTACTGTCAGCAGGTTTATGGAAAATTTATAGTATATGTTCTAAGTTCTGAGTTTACCATTTTTTGTTGGAATGCTTGCTAAAACTAGTGCTAAAAAAAGCCCATTATGAGATTAGGAGTTTAGCTATCTTTAAAGATTCTTGTAATTTGAATAGTCTGTGTGGAGTGTTTTTTACTTTAATCTCTTTTTCCCTCAAACTGCTGTTTTATCTTGGCCAGAAACAAGGCTCTGCTCAGGCTGTTTCTTCCTCCTCTTCTTTTTCTTTTTTTTTTTTTTTTTTAACTTGTTTTGTTGTATCATTCTGACTGGCTTTTGGGACTTTCAGTTAATAGAAAATTGCTGATAGCACTCTCAACCCCCAAAACTTGTTTGGGTTTTTTAGATAAGTTAGAGGAATATTTTCTATAATTTTTATTATATATCCTTTTAATATTTTTGAGTCCATTTTGCTGATGCCACATTATCTGCAATCAGTGGAAGGAGGTTTTTTTTTTTTTTTTTATTAAGCTGCAGTCTAGTTTTGAAGTGAAAACACATTCACGTTGTCTGTTATGGTAAGCATCCTGAATTTGTCTCAGTATCCTCCTGTTTGTAGCTGGTAGGGGTGTTGGATTGATGGTCCAGGTGGACCAAACTGCACGATGCATGACTCTGCTTGCTTGAACTGATCACTCCAGTACTTTTTTAAGCAAGAGAAAAGGAAAAAAAAGACAGAAATGTAAAAACTGGAAACAAACCATTCATCAATGAATTGAAATAAACAGAATTTGCCTTTAGAAATGTTTCTTAATATTCTTCAGCTGTAAATGATACTAATTTAACCACAGAGCCACAGAGCCACAGAAATGTGATTTAATTTTAAAGTTACTGCATTTAGTATTTTATTAGTGTAAGTCAGAGTAAATTCATCACTCTGGAAAATCTGAGTTGAGCACTGGAACTCTGGCCGATCTAGAAAAGGAAAATAGAAAGGTTGACGTCCTATAAAGGGGAATACAGGATTTAATCAGTCACTTCTGTTCATTTAATCAGTTCATTTCTCATTTCCATGAGGATAGTGTCTGAATCATCACTGTTTCAGAAACTCATTTCTTGATTCAGTCTCACTAAAAATCACTATGTCTGAAGAAGCAATTTCTGCTTTGACCTTACTTGCCAACATGCTTGTTGTGTTCCTCAGGCACAGTGGACTGTCCTTTCCTGTTTTTTCAGTATTAATTAATAGCTATTTTCTCTTTCCTTCCTATTTCTTCTGTATTTTAACATATGCATACATATCATGTTTGTATAAATCTGGATGGATCAAAGCCAACTTTATAATTATTTATAGATTCTTAAACTTCTAAGGTTGATTTTCCATTGACAAGTATTTGTCGAACACTTCTGTCTAGCATTGGAAATAAAGATGCTGCAGCCAATTCATGTTTCTGTTTGCTCTCTGTCATTACTACATGTGATTTAAAAAAATACACAGCGAATGAGGCAAGCCCTTCTGTATGAGATCTGCATATTTTTAAAGGCATATATGAAGTGGGATTTAGTGAAGCCAAATTTTTGAATAGACTTTGTGTCCACTGGTGAAAAGTACCAAATATTGTTGTTATAGCCTGTACCTGTTTCCATATTGTGCTCATAACATGTAAAACCTGACATCTAGTAGATGAGTAATAAAATAGGGTGGTGGAGTAAGTCCTGATCTTTAAGCACAAACAGCAAGATTTAGAAACTTAGGTCTAATTTTTTTAGGGGGGTGAGCCCACAAGCAGACACATGTAATGCCATGTCTAAAGCAGGGTGAATTACCAGCATGTGTTAATTTGGAGCAAGCAGAATAGTCATCACCATGCAGGACAAGAAAAACACCCTTCTGATATTTTGTTGCATTTCATAGATTTTTTTTTTTTTTAATATCTGGATTTTTTTTTTTTTTATATCTGAACAACCCACATATAGTGTGCAGAATCAGAAATTGATTTTCACAGTATACACAAAATCCAACTTCTTCCTGGAATTTGGCTTGACTAACCCCTTGCCTCACCCTTGCTCTTCTTTGCTCTCTGGCTCTTCTTCTGCAGAAAAAGTAAGCCAAATATTCTAGGATGCTATCACAGGGATCCACAGCCAGCCCTGAAATTCTTGGTGGCATTCAGATGTACCAGAATGCATGCTGCAGGGATAGTGCAGCTGTCTACTGCTGAGCCCCATTAGGGGGCAGGACTGTAACTTTCCATGCTGGCTTGTGGAAAGCTGCTCATGGGGTCCTTAGTTAAACCATATGGAGCAAAAGTAATGGTGCTTTTACTTAGCCCTACACTGTGTTTTAATGCTATTTGTACATGGTGGAGATTTTAAATATTCATTTCCCTGAAAACACACTACCCTCCCAAAATAATGAATGAGGTTTTAAAAACCTGCATGCAAGGAGCACTGATGTTGTACAGGACATACTCGGAAGTTAATGCACACTTATATCACCCACCTTCCACCTAGCTGTTATTCTGGAGCATTTTGTCACGTGTCAATACAGTAATTCTAACGTAGCATGCGTGTTGGATAATGCTTTAAATAAAAAAATAAGGTCCATCTTGTAGCACACTGCAGAAGGGGATACTACTTATGTCAAGGAGATTTATTATTTCTCGGATTATGCAGTTTAATACAAGATGATGCTTTTTCTATGTATTACTGAAGGACAGAAGGAAATCTATAAGAGTGACTGACTTAAACTCGTACCTGCCACTCATTTCAGTGTGTGTAGCCCAGCAGACTGGCTGCTGAGAGCTATGCTTGCTTGCCGTTTTGTGAGTCTCCGCAGACGCACGTTCGCCCACTCTATGCAAACATGCACACACTCTCTTTTTTTTCTCTCACACTGTCTGGCATATTTTCAGAATAACTCTTCGAAGACTTTCTGAACTGCTGGGTATGACAGTCTGATTATTATTTTTTAGCTGGGGACATGTTTAGTCCGGTGTTATTTAAACAAGCTTATCTTTTCGATCAAAGTCTACAGTCTGAAATTTGAACAGGGTAGGGAGGGTGGCTGGGTGGGTGAGGAAATCTATCAAGTACATATTTATGTGTGTGCTTTTGTCTGAACTGTGTGCCTGCGGAGGTATGAATGTATATATTGCTTCAGAATAACCCTGCAAGTATAAATAACTTTGTCTGTTATAGTGAAAGTTCTGAAAAAATATTATTATTACTAAAAGAAAACCATTTCTAGTAAATGTTTCTTGAAGCTGTTAGTAACCTGCATATTCAGGTTTTCGGTTTCTTGAGGTTTATGAAGGTTGAGCCGAATAACTGTAGAGTTGCTTAAGCACAGACTTTGCTAGTATTCGAAGCATACTAACTGGAGCCCATATATTAATGTGTTTAGTGTTGGCACTAACTTATTTCGCTGACTGAACCACAGACCGCAGCAATAAAGCTAGAGATCTTGAAACAGTTTATGGAGGTTTTCATTTAGCTGGTTCAGGAGAACTGGTTTGTGCAAAGTTACAATTATATGGAATGAGATTGCAAGATGAAGCATGCATGCCACACCTTTTCATTATGTTCTCTCTCTCCTTTTTTTTTTCATTCTAAATATAACTTTGAGAGGCATTTTACTTTATTTTAAGGATGATTCCATTTGATTATTTTAGATTAATTTATTTTCGAGTCTTATTTCAAATTTTAAGTTTGCTGAGCTTTTGTTCACAGGACTGGGGAAAAGAATTTCCTGTATTCAGTTCCTGTGTCACGCAATCAAATAATTTTTTCCTTTTAGGATCTTCCTGTGTCAAAGCTGGAATGATGCCTTTTTTCATGCTTTATACCCTAAAATGAAGCAGAAAGAAATTTCTAGGCTAATCTAAAGATTTTTCTCACTTTTTAATGTTGTTATTACAGTCTAGTAACGTCAATTTGCTATTACTGACCAAAGTATATTATAAACCTTTTCTTCTACATAGATACCATACCTTCTTTAATTTTTCAGTTAGTTTTATTAACCAAGGCTTGTTACACACACACAGACACATGTGCTTGCACACACACATTCTGCTTTGCCTTATCTCAGTTACAGCGCAGTCCTACCCAGGGTCATTACAATGTACACATTACATATTTCTAGCAAACATGAAAATGAATCAAACAAACAGGAGGAGACATAAGCACAGATAGATTGGAGCCTGCTGAGGAAATAAAAGGCAGTAATACTCCTGACTACTGGACTACTCTTCCTGGTTGGATTTAAGTGTTCTTTCCCGTTAGTTGCAGCAGAGCGTTGCTAGTCTGAAGTGAAAAATTAAACGACTAGTAAGAATGAAGTAACATTTAGAGGGACAATTATTTGGTATAACTCCAAAACTAATTGTTTCTGAAGTGATGTTTAAACCAATGTCAGTACAAAGCAAGAGTTCCTGGCTTGTGGCCAGAACCTTGTAACACATATTAGCCCAGATGAGGAGTTCCTAAAAGTTAGAGAGAGAGGCAGGGAGGAAGAGAGAGAGAATGTGTGCTTTCAGTGCTCCCTCTGCATCTGTTTGTATCCTCCTCCTTGCCGAGATTAGAGGAATACCTGTGTAATGCTGCTTTATCATGATTTCTGCTGAACCTCAGAATAGGTTCTGGTATTTTTTTTAGGTGGACTGCCAGCTGCCGATCTCGCTGTTGAGAGTAAAAGCAGATATGTTCCTTGCTCACTGCCATTAACACTGACCATGACCCTTCACACCAAAACCTCTGGAGTTACCCTGCTGCACCAGATTCAAGGCACTGAACTGGAGACACTGGGCAGACCTCAGCTGAAGATTCCCCTGGAAAGATCGCTCAGCGAAATGTATGTGGAGACCAGCAAGACAGGAGTTTTTAACTACCCAGAAGGTGCCACTTATGATTTCGGTACTACAGCTCCCGTGTACAGCTCTACGACTCTCAGCTATGCCCCAACTTCTGAATCTTTTGGGTCCAGCAGTCTGACAGGATTTCACTCACTGAACAGTGTTCAACCAAGTCCAGTGGTGTTCTTGCAAACGGCGCCCCAGCTCTCACCCTTCATCCATCATCACAGCCAACAGGTACCCTATTACCTTGAAAATGAACAGGGCAGCTTTGGGATGAGGGAAGCTGCTGCTCCAGCCTTCTACAGGTAAATAATTTTTCTTGATACTTTAAGCAGATGACCTGGGAGAATTAGAATGTGGAAATCTGCATGCCCTAATCTTTTTTTTTTGTGTAAAGGACCATGTGATTTAATTGACCCATCTATGATATCTAGATAATAAAAAATATAGTAGAACAAAGCAAAACTGCAATTCACAGCTCACTGTGACAGTAAGCCTTAAATTTTGAAAACTGTACAGAAATGAGAAACAAATTGGATAATGAGTGCAAATGTTCCCTGGGAAAACATGAAATCAGAATTGCTTCAAGAATGGCAAATGACCTCCCTGTTGTAATATATTAGAATTACTGTCTGAAGCATAGTAAAAAAGACTTCCACCATCACACGTTTCTGGGTGTGAGTGGGTGTTCAGCTCTTAGCTGATGGTATGAGTATTTTTCTCCTCTGGCTTCCTTTACAGTGTGAGAAGTGGCTTGTGTAGGAAGTAGTTCAGAAGCAAAATATCTTCCCTAATCAAGTGGTTAGAGTTGACTCTCTGTCAGTATTTGTCAGTAATCACCTTCATAAGCTATCTATCCTAAGAGCTGTATACGTATTAACCCACACTTTTCATTGGAGGGTGATATATATTAACCATAAATCTGGCATGCTGCATTTAAAAAGATAAGATTTTGAGGGGTTTTGTCCCTCAATAGAGGGTGGTGGTTTTTTATGTTTTGGCTTTTTTTTTTTCTTATTTTTTACTTAATTTGTCTAGAATAGAATGATTAAAATATCTTGGGAGGGGGAATAATTTTCTTTAAGTATTTATTTTTAGTTGTTAGGACCTTCACTATTTGTTGAAGGAAGTGGTAGAAATTGATAGAACTATAGCTTCCAAGAAAACAGTCATACACACCAATACCCACATTGTTAATGTTCATGCAGTTTTCATAGCATAGTTTTGCACTAATTTATTACACTGGGCTTCAGTGAATCAAAGTGAACATTTAGGTGTCATTTTATTTTCCTAAACTATGTCTCTGTCTTTTTATTTGAGAGATATAAGTGAGTTTACTAGAAATGGAATGAATTTGGAAAATGAAAGCAAGTTATTTTCTCCCTCTTGAAGGCCAGACTCTGCCAGGCTTATTTGCAAAATACAGTGTGCTACTGTGAGCAGCAGCGTATGTTCTCAAAGACAAGCTAACTCAGCCTAAGAATCTGGTTGCAGAATCTGGTCCAAAAAGCAGATGATGATTGCACTTTTTGCAAGTGATTAATCAGTTTTGGGGAGCAGATGGGATAAACACTGGTGAAATGCTAGCTAACAGTTATGTCAGACTGTCCACTACAGTGTTAACTGAATTGGTTCAAACAAAATGCATTTTAGTGCAACCAAATACAAAACCTCTAGGAAGAGGGAATACATGTCAGAGTATAAAGATCCTGAATGATTGCCAGTGACTTAAGAGTGAGACTGACTTTGTGCTAGATTAAAGGGATTTTTTTACATAAATGTCCAGTGTAAACTTGTGGTGAAAAGTGTGTAACTGACCTTTGATGTGTAAACAGTGGAGTAGTGAGTTTGTGAAAGCTGAAATGCACAGGTAAAAAATGCACTGTAGTCTGGGTATTTTACTTTAGGAGGAATAAAAGCAAGAATCACCTGGAACTAGAAGTTGAACTATGGAATTAATATTATTTTATTTTTAAACAGTCAGTTGAGGGAGACACTTAAAAATACAATTAAAATACTTTTAAAGTTCAACTACTGCGGCAAATATGTAAGGCCAGTGCTGGATTCCCCATTTCCTGACATTTCTAATGAAGGATGGGTGTCTCCCTTGAAGATGTGTTTTAACCATATGCAACTGATGAGGCTTAATGCAGCAGTAATTAAGTGAATTTATGATCTTGGATATGCAGGTTGTTTATCTGCATAGAATGTTATAGAAATGATTTAATGGCCCCTTCCAGCCATAATTCTGTAAACCACATCTGATATGATAGTAAGAAATGTGTATCAAAGCAATTCCTATGATTATCTTTTGTTAGCAGGCATAGTACTGTTGTAATTATATTGATAAAAGCTTTATTTATTTTTAGATTTTCATTTTTCCAAGGTTGCATTTATAAAGTTATTACTCTCACAATTTTAAATATTAGGTCTTTATTCTTGTATTTTGGCACAAATTCAATCACGATTAGTCTGTTAAAAGCAAGCTGAAAGGGTGTTCAGTGTCTGGAAAATATTTAAATATCTAATAAGGGGGCTTAAGAATATGTTATTTTAAAAATATTGTAATGCATAAATTCCCAATTTGCTTTATTTGTTTGGCTAATCTCATTGGTATCTGTTGGATTGTGGGACAAAAGAGAGCATGAGGCAGTGCTCTGTCTGGCAATGATTAGATTGATGCAGGAGATTGGAAGATGTCTAAGTACAAAAATGTTGAGTTACTGAAAACACCTACCAGTAGGAGCAGTAAAGACAAAAATTCTCAAACTTAAAACCCCTAACAAAACTTAAAGTGGATCATGGTCAGTTTGTTATAGGGCTCCCTGCTCCTATATAATGAGTAATGTAACCTAAGACCCGGAAAAACTCCTCTGCAACTCTCATTTACCTTTCTGTGTAACAGACTGGTGCTGTGGCTTGTAAGACTGAAGTATTTGTGTTGCATCATCTTGTTATACTCCAGATTTGAGATGAAAATGCTGCACTCAGTGGTATAAGTGGCTGGGACATTAAATTATCATTGTAGGTTGGAGCCTAAATTACAGTATGTTAATATTTGGATAAAAACCTGTTAAAAATTTTCAGTCACAAACCTCAAAATTTACTGTATGTGATAAAACTTTTAACATCACTTGATTTTGTTAATAAGTATTCAAAATCATGCTCACTCTAGGCACATATGTATTAATTCTGAAGCTATATTTTATGTCATTCAAATAGTGTTTCCTTCTCTGAAAAGCTTTGTCTCTTATTGCAGTGTGATGACAGGCCTCTATATCTAGCTGAAGAACATAACAATAAAGAAAAGAATGATTTTGTAAAGAATTAACTCCCCCTTACCCTCCCAGTCTTTTCCTTTCTGGAGTCCCTAAATCATGGGACATCAGAGTTTGAGAAAAAAGAGGGGGCCTAGTTAATCCAAATTGTGCTGTCTTTAATTTGACCCCTTTTATCTCTGACCTTGTGGCTGTTTTTATAGAGAGCCAAACTAAAATACCTTTCTCTTGTCTTACAGTGTCTGTATCTTCCAGTGAAAGGGAGAAGACATAGTGCTAGTTATGTTTTCAATTCTCCTCAAATTTCACTTATATTTTTTCTTTATTATTTTTATAGTATTTTGTTTGTTTGTTTTATTAAACACTAACTAATAGTTAATTATTATTACAGGAAATCTTGTACTAATGGATATTACAGAAAATTAATGGAAAGGTCTCTTTTGTTTTTAACTATTACATTTGAGTTCTGGTCATTTCTGGTTATTTTCTTGTGATTCTTTGGGGAAAACCAAGAAGCCTTTCAGTAGGATAATCTATCTCAATATATTCCTACAAGCAACAGCAAAGATTAATCCTTTTTGTTCTGCCAGTATGTGATATTCCTGTGTCATACCACTGAGTTTGCACTTCTCAGATCTAAAGTAAAATCATGCCTGTACTTCAGACTCCCTGCAGCCTGTGTTTGTTGCTGCTTCCAAATTTGGCCAAAAAAAGCAGGTAAAAATGGGCTAGCACCTACCAGTTACCTGATGAGGGAGTTGTCTGTCAGTCTGTAGTGTCAGAGGCAGAGCAACTCAGTATATAAACAGAAATGCTGCCTGAAAAATTATTCATTGCTCCCTGAGTTTTAGTGGCTGGCTTGTTAGAATCTCCTATTACCTCAGGTTCTAGGTTTAGGTTAATATAATAAACTATTTATTTAGTTTTAGTCACAATTGTCATACTGAAACTGACTCTAATAATTTTAAACCTACTGCTCCAATGAATATGATCACAGCTTTAATGTTTAATGCTTGTTAAAATTCAGATATATTGCAAATGTAGATTGATTCCTTCTCCTGCTGTAATTCATAAATCCATCAATCCAAAACCCAGTGACATAACTCAATATGTAATTTTTTACCTTGTCTGATTTATTATGAATCTTTCTAGCTGTTCATGTTGAGTTCTAAACAAAGAGGTTTTTTACAAATGTTAAAATTAAAGTAATGTTACAATGAATGCAAAGTTGAAAGATAAGTTTGCTTTTTTTTTATGTAGTATGAGTGATTCCATGAGATGAGGAAATACGATGTAATGTAGTGGTTTAGGGAGGTTTTCTGGCTTTGCTTTATGGCGATTTTTAAAGTTGGTTTTTTTTTTATTTTATTTTTTCTCTAAAGCATCATTCTGTTCTGAGGTCCTCTTTTGAACAATTAAAAGCATTCAGGCAGTTTCTTAAACACTTGGAGTGTTCCTGTTTTCAGAGGTTGTGCTGATATCTCTGACAATTTTATAGCAATAGCTGACTGTAAAGAAAGAGACAGGGAAACACAGAGTTATATTATCTTATGGAACTGTTGAAAAGATAAACCTGTTAAAAGTTCTGAGATACTCATACATTACAATTATGAGGGTCTTGTGCAATACAATTTTTTGGTTTCTGCAGCTCTCCTTAGAGAATGTGCTGATGTGGATGGATCCTGCTGGAGGTGTTCTTGCACCATAAAGTCATTAACCCATATTGTTGAGGAGCATGTTTTCTGTGCCTCCTTGTGACTCTGAATAACGCTAGGCACCATTGGAAAGGGGCGAAGGAGCTGTTACGCTTTCTCATTATTCTCCTTTCTTCCAAGGTAGGGAGATGGTTCTCAACCACTCTCTCTGAGCTTCCTTTTCAATGTTTCCTTTTTATTGAAGAAAACTTTCTTCACTTCTGTAACAGATGATTTTTCACATAAACCACAGATCAAGGAAATGCTTCATATACCAAGTCATTGCCATGTGGATTGAAGCCTGTGGCTAAACCCCATGTTTGTTCAGGTAGC